CAGTCAGTCTTGGCCTCCTTCCCAGCCAGGGTGGGTGGCAGCCCCTGCGAGGCTGTCAGCAGTCACTGCTCACACTGACGTTTATGAGCAGAAGCCATGCCTTTCTGGGAGGAGAGGTGGGGGGATGTGTTGGGGGTAGAGAAGCCTTTGTCCCATCCAAAACTCCTACTCCCTTTGGCCCTGCCCTCGTCTGTAAGCACAGCCACAACAGGACTGAGCCCTTCCGGGAAGCGGCTGCTTTCTGCCCAGAGCTACCTGCTGGCCTGCCTTCCCCTCCATCCCCTGCCTCCCTGCCCCTGCCGTACAGGTCATCTCTCCCCCCTCTGACCCACAGGAGGGCAAAGCCACTGGGCTAGGCTGAGCTGGAGGCCTGGGAGATTTCTCCTCCTGAGCGCAGGCCTCTGCTTCATGGTGAGGACGCACTTGGGAATGACAAACAGAAAGGGCGAGTTAACTGTAGGCTTGTGGAAAAGCCAGACCTCCTGCCCTTGTACTCTGGAAACTCTTCGGCAAGTCCTTCCACATGCCTCAGTTGCACCATCTGTTAAGAGGGTCGATGATATTCCCTACCCCATAGGATTATGGGCAGAGTTAAATGGGAGCCTAATAGGCCATGGAGCTGTGAGCACAAAGCCAAGCACACAGGTGGTGCTTTGTAAAAACCTATTCTCTTCCCTCTTCTCTTTGTCCTCTCCACAGCATCCACAGAGCTTTCACAGCCTTTCTGTACTTTTCTTGGTGTGCTCTCTGAGGATTCCAGCAGGTGAAGACACCTAATGCTGTTCATCTTTTGCTTGCCCCCTCCCTACTCAACCACAACTCGGGGATGGTGAGCCCAGCCTCTCCCTAGGCTTCCCTCTCATATTTAGGACTTCCCTCTTACAGTTTATGCTCAGTAGTCTCAGCCCCTGTCTCCACATCACCTGGAATATACCTGCTCCTTCTCCCTGTACAAGGTCCAGAAGCAAATGCTACTGAAATTACTAATGGTTACTGAGCACTTGCAATGTTCATCTGCTGAGCTAAGTCCTTCATCAGTATGAATGCATCAAATTCCCTCAATAGCCCTGGGGAGGCTGGCCCATTATCATCATCCCAGGTTTCTGCCTGCGGAAATCAAGGCACAGAGAGGTTGTATGATTTGCTGAAGGTCCCCCAGACACTCACAGGTAGAGACAGAATATGCCATTGCTAGCATCTGGTCCTGAAATCTGAGATCTGAGCCACATCCTCTATGGTGGGGAGTCAGAGCTGGCCCTCCTGGTACCTGGCCTGGGGACAGTCGTGTAGGAACGGTGTGCTGGTCCGGCAGAAGCCCCTGTCCCTGGGGCCTGCCTGGCCGCTCACGGTCCCTGATGGAAGGCTCTGGAATGGCTGGCTTTCTAATTACACAGTATGGCAATACTTCCCAACTCACCCCTTGCTCTTCTCTCATCTCCCTGCTTCTTCCTTTGGTGCACATGCAGTATCTTCTTTATTTGTGTAGCTTTCCTTCTTGTTCATTTCTGAAGCAGAGACTTTGGGGGGACTGCATTGTCAGTCCTGCCCCAATCCTCACCCTCTGCGCTGCTGAGTGCCCCAGGATACCTCGACTCCCACCTCTGACATCTTGACCCCTGCCCTTGGCCCCAGCTGTATGAGGTCAGGTGCTAGATCCCATCAATCTCTGAACCAAGAGGCCTGCAGAACCAGATCCCAGGGTGGGTCTGGCTGGTGATGGCCCCCACATTTCCCACTTCAACCAAGGAATCTGGAATCCTACCACTGGTGTGGCACCCCATGCCTATCCCTGTTCCCCTGTGGAATGTAGGTGTCTTTCAAGGGCTTCCCTTGTGACTCGGATGGTAGGAATCTGCCTGCAATGTGGGAGACCTGGGTTCAATTCCTGGGTTGGGAAGATCCCCTGGAGGAGGGAACGGCTACCCACTCCAATATTCTTGCCTGGAGAATTCCATGAACAGAGCAGGCTACTGTCCATGGGTTTGCAAAAAATTGCACACAACTGAGCGACTTTCACTTTCACTTCTGGGCTTCCCTGATATCTCAGTTGGTGAAAAATCCACCTGCAATGCAGGAGACCCCGGTTCGATTCCTGGGTTGGGAAGATCCGCTGGAGAAGGGAAGAGATACCCACTCCAGTTATCTGGCCTGGAGAATTCCATGGACTGTATAGTCCATGAGGTCGCAAAGAGTCAGACACGACTGAGCAAGTTTCACTTTAAGAACAAGGACCGCAAGACTGAGTTCATCTAGTCCCTGATTTCAGGATTACTGGAGAAGGGAGGCTGTGGAAGTTGTGGGCATCACGAACCAGGTAGAAAAGGTGCCCCAGAAGCGGTTGGAGGGCTGACAGCACTGTCCCTGTCTTGAGACCAGCACAACTCAAAGCGTCTTCAGAGTCACAAGGTGGCCTCTCTACTGCACACTGACTGGACCCTAGGCCTTGACCGCACGCGGAGCGCTCCTTCTGGCATAACTGGTCTTTCCCCTGAACCTGATCAGTGCTGAGGCCCTGCCTTGGAGCTCAGACGGAGTCTTCTCCCCAGGATATCACGGCTGCCAGGAAGGCCAGTAAGGATCCAAAAGACATAAGGCAGTAGGCCCAGAAGACCCGGGCAGTGTTGCTGTCACCTTCTAAGTTTAGATTTACGCATTCAGCATGTATGGCCCTTTTTAGGATTTTGTCTGTAATTCTAGTAGGCTATCACCAAATGGTGGTAATGGTGCCTGGGCAAAAAAGACATGATTACTGGAGGAAGAAGTTATTATTTTATATACCGCTATTGTTCTACATTAGCAAATAATAGTAACAAATACTCCTATTTCATTTGCCAGACATTGTTCTAAGTGTTCTGCTTCACTTAATCTTGTTCCGGAACAGACTTTTCTGGTAGTTGCTATCACTAATCTTGTGAAATAACTTGCCCAGGATCACAACCAGGGTTTGGATCCAGAGTCTGTGTTCTTGACCTTTATGCACTACTTTGGACACAAACAAATACCCAGGGAAACCTTACTATGGAAGCAGACTGCCTCATAGCACAGTACTCCTTTTTTTTTTAATATTTCTTTCTTTTGTTTGTTTGGCAGCGTCGGTCTCAGCTGCGGCACGCAGGATCCTCTTTGCATCGTGTGGATCCCTCTAGCTGCCGTACATGAGCTCTCTAGCTGTGCTGTGCTGGCTCCAGAGGGTGCAGGCCCAGCCATTGCAGCCTGCAAGCCTAGCTGCCTGTGGCACGTGAGAGCCCAGTTCCCCAGCCAGGGATCGAACCTGCGTTCCCTGTGTCAAACCTGTGTCTCTTGCTTGGCAGGCAGACCCTTTACAACTGAGCCACCTGAGAAGCCCTAATGGGTTATTATTTGGCACCAAAAAGGAATGAAGTCCTGATACATGCTGTAATGTGGATGAACGTCACAGCGAGTGAGAGAAGCCAGACAGAGGGCGATTATTGTATGATCTACTTACCTGAGATGTCAAGAACGGAACCCATAGAGAGAAAGTTAAATCACTGGTTTCCTGGGCCTAGGTGGGATGAGGAAGTGGGGGCTGGATGATGAGTTAATGAATGCAGAGTTTCTGTGGGGGAGTAACAAATAATGTTCTAAAATTAGACTGTAGTGATGGTTGTAGAACTCAGCAAATATACCAAAACCCACTGAACTGTACACATTAAATGGGTGAAATATTAGCTATATAAATAGTATCTCAGTAAAAATTCTTTAAAAAAAAAAACAAGTAGGAGAGAGCTAGTTTCTTTAATATATAAAGTACAGTTGCAAACTAACAAGAAAAATATCAAACCCCAGCAGAAAAAAAATCACAAAGAAAACACAAATGATTCTTAAATGCAAAGATTCTCTCTTCTTAAATGCAAAGATTCTCTCTTCTTAAATGCAAAGATTCTCTCTTCTTAAATGCAAAGATTCTCTCTTGTTTGTAGTACATATCATACAAGTCAAAGCTACTCTGAGAAGTCTACCTCCTAGATTAGCAATGATGAAAGCTATTGAGGAGTTGGAATGTTAAGTTGATACAACTGCAGCTGGGAGTGGGGAGAGGAAAGTCATGGTAACTGTCATCTTTAAAAATGAAAAGTGCACATACCCATATACCCAGCAATTTCACTTTTATGAACTTATTTGGCAAATGTACTCTCCTATGTGCAAAATTATATATACACACATGGAAATGTTAGTTGCTCAGTTGTGTCCAACTCTTCGTGACCCCATGGTCTGTCCATGGAATTGAATTCTCCAGGCAGGAATAATGGAGTGGGTTGCCATTCCTTTCTCCAGGGGATTTTCCCAGCCCAGGGATTGAATCTGGGTCTCCTGCATTGCAGGCAGATTCTTTACCATCTCCAAACGCACATTTATATATGCAAAGTTATTCATTGCAGCACTGCTTGTAATAGAAGAGTAGAAACAATCTAGATAGACACCTGGGCTGGTGATCTGCTTCACTATAGATAATATACATGCTGTTGGGAGACACACTTTCACTGCTTTCAAGGTTGTGTTCTGCCTACGTTGCCCCTTCAGTAACCATTTAAACCACACCACTCTGGGCCATGTGTCGGTAGGTCATGTGACTGCCAGCCGCCCCTTCATGACGGCGGTGTTAAAGGAGTAATTCCTCGCCACCAGCAAGTACTTTCTTCCTTCACTCTAAAAACCCACCACCAGCTCCGTCCTTCATTCCCGTGTGAGTCTCCCAGCCTTGGGATTCTCACATGTGCTCTGGGGTAACTGGTGTCCTCTGGACCTGGGACAAAAGGTGTTCCCATGTCCGCACCTGGGGACGCAGGGCATGGAGGCTGAAGGGAGAGACCGTGGGGACCTGGGGGGGCATTATTGTGGCCTGGTGGACCCCAATCCCTTGTGTTTGCTTCCTGTCCTCTAGGCACGCCCCAAAGGCGAGGGTCTGACCCCGTACCAGGGCAAAAAGCGCTGCTTNGGGGGGGCATTATTGTGGCCTGGTGGACCCCAATCCCTTGTGTTTGCTTCCTGTCCTCTAGGCACGCCCCAAAGGCGAGGGTCTGACCCCGTACCAGGGCAAAAAGCGCTGCTTCGGCGAGTACAAGTGTCCCAAGTGCAAGAGAAAATGGATGAGCGGCAACTCCTGGGCCAACATGGGGCAGGAGTGCATCAAGTGCCACATTAACGTGTACCCGCACAAGCAGGTGAGGGGCGGTGTGCAGGGAGCAGGCGGGGGAGCAGGGGCGTGTTCAGAGTGGGTGGAGGGGCAGGGGAGCAGTGGGGTATACTCAAGGGCCTTCATCTGGAACAGATAGGGGAGGGTTACCTTTTCCCTTACTGAGCCCCAGCTTGCTCCTTCATACGATGGGGATGAGACCACATCTATCCAAGTGAGCCCTGTCCTTTGCTTGTCTCATCGGAAACTGGTTGGGGGGGTTGGAGAGAGGTTGGTCCTATTTTCCCAGGCAGGGAAGGAGGATAAAGGGGCAACTGTACCAAGACCCTGAGACCACAGACCGCAGTGAATTTTGAAAGTAACGGCCTGGGGGTGCGACCATGACACAAAGAGGGATGAGGGGCAGCAGAATGCTGTAGAGAAGCGCACTTCATTGGTTCATTTGCCCAGTTGGCGCCTGTACACAAAGCAACTGCTGGGTGCCTGGGACTGTGCAACAGGGCTGGTGGCCAAGGGCCTGCCTGCCTTGCTGGGAGGGGGTTGAGGTGGATCATCCCAGGGAGGCCCCACTCACTGCAGGCTGCAGAGAGGAGGCGGCATTTACTCTGGGACCTGAAGGAGGGAGGAAAGCTACACCTGTCACGAGAGGGTGGATGGCCATCCCGGGAAGAGGGCAGAGCAGGTGCAAATGCCCTGAGGCTGTTGGACTTGGGATACTCAAGGCTCAGAGCTCAGTGAAGGAACAGGAAGGTGGAGTGGGAGGAATAGGAGGGCTAAATGGGACAGTCCCCAGAGGAATTTGGGGGGCCCCACAGGGGAGCGCCAAGAAACAGCTTTGTTTGCAGGTGATTACTCCGGTTGTGTGTAGAGATTGGTCTAGAAGGGCTGGGAGACGTGAGGAGACCTGTAGGAAAGCCGTGGCAATAGTGCCAGGCAAGCCATAGGAAGTCTGTGGGTCTGCGCCTGGGTCTGACACAGCGTCTCGGGACTGGATGTGGATGGTGAGGTGGGGCCAGGAAACCAGGAGAACAGTCGCACTCTGGCTTGAGCTCCTGAGTGGATGGAGGTGGTCATGACCATGGTGGGCAGTCTGGGCTGGGGGCAGTTTGGAGTGGGACATAGGTGTTCTAGATAAAGGCAAGAGACCTCTGTTACATGTTACATTTGTGATGTTCCTGAAAATCCAGGTCAAGATGTCAAGAAGGCAGTTGGGTTTGTTTTTCTGAAGTTCATGTAAGAACTCAAGGTGGTTTACCCATAATTGGGTACCATTGGCCTAAAGGTATTTAGGGAATGATGAGATTTCCTGCAGAATGTGGACAAGGTAGAGAAGGGATTCCCGAGACCATGTGCTGTGGAGTACCGGCATTCAGAGGTCAGATGAAGGAGAAGCATCCAGTGAGAAAGACCACAAAGCAGGGAGTCCCCGAGATGGGAGGGAGTGCCCTTCCAGGGCTCAGGTGCCGGCTCCTGCTGAGCTGGCAGATGTCATGACCACGGAGAAGGGCCCTTGTGGTTTGGTAACAAGGACATGGTCCCGAAGCTTTGGGTGTGGAATCACTTTTACCTGGAAGATTTTTTGAGCGGCAACCCAGGTCTGAGAACCACTGAAGCCAATGCCCTGCAGGTCAGGCATAAGTGGCATGAAGATATGAATTCACAAGGGGATCTGTTGGCCTGGGTGGTAGCCCTGCTGGCTGAGGTTCCCTGGGCCAGGCTGCAAAGGAAATACCTTCACTGTCCACTTTTCCAAAGGGCATTGATTGCGGAGAGAAGCAGAGAAATGGGACCCTAGCTGGAGTAGAGACAGGCCATTGAGATGGATGTTATAAGGTGAGAGAGCCTGGAGCATGTTACGGTAAATGAGGATGGCCCAGAAGAAAGTAAAAGGCTGGTGATACCAGAACAAGAGGCATACCTTATGGTCAGCCCAAGAGGGAGGGAGGTGGGGGATGACTGGGGAGGGACATGGAGCAGAGAAGGGGGACTTCACTTGCAAGGCTTCTGCTTCTCAGTGAAATGGGATGTGAAGTTTTCAGCTAAAAGCCAGGGTGAGGAGGGGTATGGTGGGCTGCTGAAGGATGAAGGAGGAAGCAGGTCTACCAGGGAAACATAACCAGACTGGCCAGCAGCATCCAAGCCCAGGGGAGCTTCGAGAATTTAAGTGTCACTAAAGCCGTCAGCTCAGTTCTGCACCTTGCCCAGCAGTGTTCACTACACGCAGACGCGGGCCAGAGACAGTGCAGGGGCTCAGGGCCGAGGTGTGCCAGGAGAGTGTTTCAGAGGGAAGAAGGCTGAGTTTGGGGCATATTTGGAAAAGTGTGATGTTGGAAATACCTGGTCCAGGGGTATCAGCTAGTTGGTCAGGAAACGAAGCCAGAGGAGCCCTGATGGAGAGGTGGGGCCAGGACTGGGTTCAGGGGAGGAGCTGAGAGCTTCCACGAGAACGGGTTTCTGAAGACCAAGTCCAGGGTGTGGCCAAGGGCTGGTGGGAGAGAAGGTTAGGGTTGGTGAGGGTGTCCGGGTACTGAGGAGCTGGGGGTCGGGCGAGTCTTCCCTGAGGATGGCAGGAGCAGGCGGTGGAGGAGGGCATAGGGAAAGGGAAGCTGGAGGGTGGGGGAGAATCCCCTGAGGCAGTGGTGTCAGGCTGAGCCCTGAAGGGGCCGTGGAGGGCCGGCAGACCAAGGGGACTGGACTGGGGTGGGAGTGGCAGAGAGCGGAGTGCCCTTCTGGTGAGGGAAGAACGTGTGCAAAGTGGAGAGGACAGGAGAGCCTGGAGGAGCCGAGGAGGGAAGCAGAGCTCGGAGGGAGGGGCTGGCTCAGAGACTGTGACCCAGAATTTGGTCTTTGTCCTACTAGGAGGTCTGGGAGTTGTCCAGGCGCACTTTCGTGGCTGAACTCTTCTGTGATTTTATGACTCTTGGGCAGGCCTCCGTGGTCTCTGTGTGCAGGCTCTGTCCCCCAGGGTGTCCATGGTTGCCAGCACCCACCCTGCGGCTCCCAGGCAAATAGATAGGAAGCTGGCCACACAGCCCAGCGGATGAGGGTCTCCTTAGCGCAGGGGCCTGGTCCACAGCCTGATGACACCGAGGGAGACACCGAGGCCCTGGAGCGCCAACACAGGCTTGGTGACCCGGTGACTGGGGCCCAGGACGTGTGGCATGCACATGTGTGTGGAGCACATCAAGGATGGGGCTGAAGGGGAGCAGGGTAAAGAATCCTCAGCATCCAGGCTCCCGAGGTCTTCCTGGCAATTCCTGAGCAGGTCTGGGACCCCAGTCCAAAAGCACCTCCCTTAATGTCCGACCATCAGCACATGCGCCCAGGGCCCTGGGGCATGGCCAGTGCTATCAGAAGGATTCCTTTTTTCCCTCTCTGGACACACTCTGCTGAGGACTGCTTGACTGGTCTGTGTAGGTTCTAAAGGAAGACCAAGGTCAGGGTGCTGCCAGGCCTTCCAGGAGCTTCCTCTCAAACCCAAGGGATGGGATTCCATCAGACAGGGCTACCTACTGGCGTTCAGAGAATTCCTGGCCTGAGTCACAGGTGTGGCCATGCTCTGGGTGCCATTTGCTGAGCGCCTGTACACCCTTCATGTGTGCTCTGCCCACAGACCAGGTGTCCAGTTCATCCCGCTTCACTGGGAGTGAACCTGCAACCTTGAGAAGTCATGTGGCCTTTCCAATGCCCCCACATAGACGTGGGGCCTTGGAATTGAGTTTGCACCTGTCTTTGGAGCCCGGTCCTGAGGCCAGGCAGGCCTCTGTGTCCTAGCACTGCCCTCCTTGAACTGGGTGGGCTGGAGCACACCACTGGGCTCCCAGCGCAGGAAGGAGGAGGCCAGGCTGCAGGTGAGCCTCAGCCACTGGAGACTCGGGAAGATCCTGACCGCAGTGAGCAGTGGCCAGGCACTCCTCCGCGTGTTTTATACCCTTTATCCTCTCAGCCATCCCAGGAGGTCAGCTCTATTGTCTCCCCTTCTTACAGAGGAGGAAACTGAGGCAAAGGGCATAAGTGACTTACCCAAGCTCAGTAGAGAAGCTGAAACTCACGAAGGGTGGGGCTAAAGAGAACACTGCAGGAGACAGATGGAGGGGAGGGGTGGGGGAGCAGCAAGTGCAGGTCAGGCTGGCTGGCTGGGGCAGGAGTTGGGAACAGGCCAGTTCCTGCCAGAACTCAGATGTATGGTGCTTGAGTCTGTGCTGGCGATCTGGGAGGCTCAGTCCCGATGACTCTCATGGCCCGTGATCGAAGCAGAGGGGTCCGGTCCATGCACCCAAGTCCACTGGGGCCCAACTCCCTGCAGTGGCTCCAGCCTCCTTGACCCCGCCTCTGTATCGCCTTAGCACCCCTTCCAAGAGGCCAGAGCTGTACCACCATCCCCCAGGCTGGCAGCAGCCTCATGTGCTTCATTGTCTCCATCCTGAAAGCTCAGTGCAAGCATCACCTCCCTGATCATCGCCTCCAGACCCGAAGTCTCTGGACCAAATGCAGAAGAATCTTCTGAGCGCGCGTGGCTCTGCTCTTCCCTCTCCCAGTCGTTCTGTGCTTGTTAGTTGAGCCCCTACTTTGTGAAACAGGGAGACTGAGACCCAGAGAGAAGAAGGGACTTGAACGAGGTCACTCAGCCAGTCAAGGGGGCCTGGGACCCCGATCTGCCCCTGCTTTACCCCTCAATCTCCTGTCACAGGGCTCTTCTCCCTCAGGGAAGTGGCAAGCTGGGGGCAGGACAGAGGGGGTGATGGCCCTGCCAGGCCCCACAGCAGTCAGGAGCCTTTGAAGAGCTGAGAGGAGGGGCTCGAAGCATCTGTCCCCCCAGACTCCCCCACTCCCTGCAGTGGAGAGAGGCTGCTTTATTTCTCCTGCTCCCTGCGCTCTGACCTGTCGGCATCCATCTCTTGAGAACTCTCCACTTCCCCTCTCCCTGTTCCCCACTACATCTGTTTCCCGTCAGACTCCAGCTGTGGCTTCCCCGTGCTGGCCCTGCCCTCCAGGAGAAGAAAACAAGAATGGGCTTTGCCTCCCTGCGGGGGGTGGGGGTGGCCCTGGGGTGATCAGTCCCAGCTGCTGACTGTTTTCCCTCTGCAGAGGGCAGTCGCCTTGACAGCTTCCCCACCTCCTCCACCCAGCGCCAGGGCAGGGCTGAGCCAGGACCCGTGGAGGGAAGGGGCACTGACAGGTCACAGCCAAGGAGCGGGAATGGCCAGGATGCTGCAAGTGCATTTCCCCAGGGGTTCAGCTGGTTCCCCTGTTCCCAGCCTGCCCCCTTCTACATAGCAACAGCAATGATGCATGATATTAATACTAATAGACAGTTTGCTCTTTAGGTACTAGGCACTGTTCTAGTAACCTTGCATGTATTAACATATTTACTCTTCACAACAACCCCATCAAGTAGGTACCCTTATTAGCCTATTGTATAGATGAGAAAGGGGACTTCCTGGTGGCTCAGTGGTAAAGAACCCGTCTGCCAATGCAGGAGAAGTGGGTTCAGTCCCTGGGTCAGGAAGATCCCCTGGAGAAGGAAATGGTGACCCACTCCAGTATTCTTGCCTGGGAAATCCTGTGGACAGAGGAGCCTGGTGGACTATAGTCCATGGAGTCACAAAAGAATCAGACAGGACTTAGAGATTAAACAGCAGAAATAGAGGGGAAAAGTTGAGGCAAGAGAGGTTAAGTGACTTGTGAGAGGTCACACAGCTCATAGGTAGCGTGAGCCCAAGTCTGACATGAAGACAAACTTTTTCTCCTCTCCCCTGGGCAGGAAAGCTGGTCATCTAAAAGCTTCTTGAGGTGAGGCCAAGGGTCCTGCCCTGTTTCTATGTCTTCCCAATGTGGTTGTAGGCCTGGAAGCACGGAGATGACTTTTTATGACCCTACATCAGAACCCTGCCCACCCACAGTCTGTCACCTCCCAGAGCCCTCTGACCTGTCCGCTCCCCACCTGCTGCAGTGTCAGCTGCAGGCCAGGCACTGCATAATTATGCAGACATGTTGGTGTACTCCTTTTGAGCAGTCTGCAGCCTGCCCGGGGGCAGCGCTCACACTCAGCTTCCCTCCAGGACCATCCCAGGTCCTGGTCACGGGCACCAAGGCTCCCTGGGCCCACACCAGCCTGCAGTTCCTGCCCCTCTCCTTGGCATGTGGCTGCCATCTGGCCCTGACCAGCTTCCTTTGAGTCCCCTCCAAGTCCTGTACAGGGGACCTTGCTACAGGTAGGGGTTCTGGGCTGGGGCTACAGCTGCCAGCCAAGAAAATGTCTGCTTAATAGCCTCCATATGTTTTCCAGAGAAACAAGCTAGCTTTTGAGAATACCAAAGGGAGCAGGGAAGCCCCCTGTGTAACAGAAATGTGCTTGTACATGCTGAACACCCCTCAATTTACAAATATCTAGATGCCTGACTCCTCCCTGTAAACAGGCTGTAAAAATGGCCCACTTAACAGATGTGGAAACTGAGGTTCTGTAGGGTCACACTGTGAGTGATCAGCATCAGAGGTCTGACAAGTCACCTCCTTTGTCTGGACCTCAGTCTTCCATAAACGGGGCAGGCACTGTGCCAGGCCCTGGGGTGCGGGATGAATCAGAACACTGGCTGCTGACCTCACAGAGCTAAGGGCTTGCTTACCTCAAGCCTGAAATGCCATGACCCCACCCAGGTTAAACTCTATTTTTAAATTTACTTTTAATTGAAGGATAGTTGCTTTACACGGAGAAGGCAATGGCACCCCACTCCAGCACTCTTGCCTGGAAAATCCCATGGACGGAGGAGCGGGGTGGGCTGCAGCCTGTGGGGTCGCACAGAGTCGGACACAACTGAGCGACTTAGCAGCAGCAGTTGCTTTACAATGTGCAACAGCATGACTCAGCTATGTGTATACAACTAGCCCCTCCCTCTTGAGCCCCCCTCCTGTCCCACTCCTCTAGGTCATCACAGAGCACTGAGCTGAGCTTCATGTGCTAGACAGCAGCTTCTCGCTAGCTATCTATTTTACACACGGGAGTGTATATATGTCAGTGCTACTCTCAGTTCATCCTGCCCTGCTGTGTTCACAAGTCCGTTTTCTATATCTGCATCACTATTCCTGCCCTGCAAATAGGTGCATTTTCCTAGATTCCATATATATGTGTTAATACATGATACTTGTTTTTCTCTTTCTGACTTACTTCACTCTGTATAACCGGCTTTAGGTGCATCCACCTCACTTCAGCTGACTCAGACTCATTCCTTTTCATGGCTGAACTCTTGAGTCTTTTTCCCTTTTTTTTGCCACACCACATGGTTTGCAGGATCTTAATTCCCCGACCAGACATTGACCCTGGGCCCCCACAGGGAAAGCGTCGAGTCCTAACCCCTGGACCACCAGAGAATGCCCTAAACTCCCCTTGAGTCTTGAGGCCACAGGAGCAGATGTGGGGGTGACAAGTGGCCTGGGAAGAAGCAGTGTGTGCTAGGAAGCAGGGGATGTAGCTTGGGTCTCCCTTGAGCTGGGCCTCTGTTTCTTCAGCTTAATCACGCCTGTGTACCATTTGTGAGCTTCAGGTGGTGGCGGCTCAGAGACTGCTGTCTAGGGGTGGGGTGTTGGGAGGTGGTGGGTAAAGTGGTGTCTAGACCTGGGGCTCTGGGTACAAGACGCCCTCCCACAGCCCTGTTCCCAGCTCAAGGCCTCAGCCTGAGCCCTTCGGTTCATAAGACACGTGTGTTACCTGCAGCAGGCAAGAGGCAGGAAGGGTCCTGGGTGCTTTGGGCAACAACCTCTGACTACAGGTTCATGTGCTCTCTCTCTGCGCCCTCCCTGTGTATCTGTCACCTTCCTCCTGTCTGCCTGTCCTCTCCCCACATCTGTCTCACCGCCCCCCTTCTTTGGTGTTTCTTTCTCTCCACCCCCTTCCTCCCCACCCTTGGGCTCGCTTGCTTCTTCCTCTCTGCAGAGACCCCTGGAGAAACCCGATGGCCTGGATGTGTCCGACCAGAGCAAGGAGCACCCCCAGCATCTGTGCGAGAAGTGCAAAGTGCTGGGCTACTACTGCCGGCGTGTGCAATGACCTGCCACCGGCCTTGCCCCGCCACCCTCCCGTCCGCCAGAGAAGACGCCACCCACCTATGTGTCCCCTGTGTGTGCGGGGGTGTCCTCGCAGGCTGACAGGTCTAGGGGGGTGGGCTCTTAGGTTCCTGGCTCATGTATGTTGACAGTGTTACTGATATCGCTGCGCGCCCCCAGAAAGCTGAGTCTCTGAGACTCCTTACAGTGAGTGTGGGTCTGTGTGAAGGGATCGGGGCGAGCAGAGGTCAGCACACAGGACCCCACAGAGTCCTTAGTGTCCCCTGCAGGCTCTCCTCTGAGACTCCCTTTGGGGTGAGCAGCCTTGTATTGGCCACAAGTGCACTAAATTTACTGTGAATCCCAGAGCCTGCGGGGGACTGTCTCCCCGAGACCAGCCAGGCCGCCTTCTCCCACCCAGAACCTTCCAGTTTGCCCTATGTGAAAAGCCACTCTTGCAAAGCCCCAATTTTCCAAGTCAGCACGCATAGTGAGCTGACACCGGTTCTAGCAGCTGCTGGGGAGTGGGCACTTCTGCCCCCTGCCACTTTGAGCCCCAAATCTGACTGCCTCTAATGTCACTGGCTTGGCACCTGGGTGCTGCACCCCACCCCCCACAAACCCAGGGGTCAGGGACGGGGAGGCACTGAATGTTGGAGAGTGTTCCAAGATGTGACCTGGCGCATGTCAGGTCATGCCTCCACTCCCCCCCTACCCCCTGCCACATACTTCCCCTATTGCTTAGATTTTGTTGGTCCCATCCCCTTCTGTCCCTCTTCCCCTCCCACCCTTGCTGGGGGGGCCACCCTTGGATGGAGGCTGTAGAACCCAGCAGTATAGCCACTCTGGCAGGAAGTACACAGGCCTGGAAGATCCAAGTCCCAGGTTCTAATGCTGGTCCCGCCAGTGATGCCCTACGGAGTCTTGAGAAGGGTTCTCATCTCCCCGTTTCCCCACTCATCCGTGAGAGAATGACAGCAGAGAGGTGTTCTGATGTCCCGGGGTTCGTCCTGGCTGCACACCATCTCCTAGAGTAGAGAGCTTTATTTGGAGAGGGTTTCCAGGTCCTGTACGCCCACTATCCTGTACGCCACGGAGTCGTCAGTCACTTAATAAGTCCTGTGGAAGGACCTCTGTCCTTCCCTGTTTGCCCCTGAAGCCCCAGCTCTGCCTGTTGTCCCCTACCTACAAACATGAAGAAGTGCCCCCCCTTACATAGGCAACCCCAGTACAAGCTCCAGAACCTCTCATTTGCAAAGCCAGGTCGATGATTCCTACCTCCCCAGGGGACAGGGAGGCTTCTTGGCACTCACACTGGCCAGGACCACGCTGTCCCAGCTAGCGGGAGGGATCACCTTCCTCTTGGTTCTCTCCCCAGTGAGAAGCCCTATTTTTACTGTTATGTCACCCTTCCTTTCTCCCGGGGGGAGCCAGCTTGTCAGAGCTGAGTCACTTGATTTTTGCCCAACATTATGCCTCTGTGAGGGGGGAAAAAAGTCAGACCATGAAATGGGCCTGAAATTCAGTGTTTACCACGGCTCAAGGACACCCAACCTGTGTCCGGTCGCCTTTTGTTTTCAAATGAATATGCTTTGTGCAACTGAGGAGTTACAGCGAAGTGTTTATCAGGGGTCCAGGGAGTGAGACGAAGAGATGGAGTGAGTGTGTTTGCAGCCAGAGGGCTGCAGGGTAGGTTTGTGGGGGAGGCCATGCCCTCTGAGCACTTAAGAGGAGTGTATTTGCTCCAGCCTGAGCCCCATAGCCGCCTCCTTCCGGCCGCAGGGACAGAGTTACAGGTCCCTGGCTGTGAACACGCTCACCGCCCACCACTGAGGAGTCCCTCCCGGCTGCTCCCTGCCTGCTCCATGGTGTCAAGGTGAGCCAGAGTCATCCTGGCCCAGGGCTCTCCTTCCCAGAGGGGAAGCTGTTACTGTCAGTCATACTAGTGCCCTGCTAACGAGAACATTTGTTGTGGTGGACATTGCGCTGGTCTCTGCTGTGTGGACCAGGCTCAGCGCCTCCAGGGACCTGGCTCCATGGGGGGACCTTGGTCTCAGAATGCCTGGGCTGTAGTTGTGGGGGAAGCTCACACCCTAGAAAGAACCCAGGCTCCAGACCCCTGGAGGCCAGGACCTCCCACAGGTCAAGCGGGGATGGGCTATCACCCCAAACTGCCCTTTGCAGCGGGCTTGTCCAGCTGGCAGTCACTGCACCCCACCATCTGTACAGAGCCGGCCAGCGGGGCTGGGCCTCCCCCCGAGGCTGCCTTTCTGCACCACCCACTCCTGTACTTTTTGGCTGAATTTGGGAGCTCTCTGGCCTCAGCAAGAACCACTGCTGTCCAGGCTGGTGCTGTGAGAATTAAGTGCTCAGAGGGCCTGGGTGCCCAGGAGACAAGAAAGTGTGTGGTTGTAGTACATTCAAAAGGGACAATCGCTTGCAGTTAGTAGGTCTAGCGATCCAGTTGGGAGAGAACCGTGTTTACCCCATATGAAGTATTCGATAGTTCTACTTGTGAATTTGTATTTATTTTGAGTTATACTTGACACAGAATTCCTTTTGTTTTTTTTTTTTAAAGAAAAAAATACTATGTGTGTATTTTGAAACGAAAATTCATGGATGTTAAAATTTCTGCATGGTTTCCAATTTTTCTCACAACACTGAATTTGTTACCTTCTCCCGAAAACTTCACAGTGATTTTTGTCTGTATATATTTGAGGGCTTTTTTTAAGAAAAAAAAAGAAAAAGAAAAATATGATTGCTTGATTTTTGAGATTAAACAAAAAGAGAGGCATTTTCAAAACTTCAGAACTTTCAGGAGGGCAATAGAATATCAAAGGAAGATTTCTGGAAGTATTTTTTGCAAATCTTCTGGTTGAGCTGCAAGAAAATATTTATGGTGAGAACTTTTCTCTTTTTCCTGTTTTGGTTTTCTTTTCTTTTTTTTTTTTTTTTACTATGCTTTGGTCTGTAAAAAGTCTGCAACTGAATTACATTAAGAAGGAAATATTGTCTACATAGAATATTATATGAAGTTGGTACATAATTCTGATGAGGAAAAAAAATCTTTGCAATTCTTTAAGCCATATTATTGTTATTCTCTGTTGTTTTCCTTGGATAAAAATATCAGTATTAGGTAGCCAGCATATTATTCAAGTGCTTAGACTTATTCATGTGTTCCTGTCCTGTATTTATACATATGTGTATTTGGGAAAGTATTACCTTTTGTAAGGGAAGCTATTATTAGATACTTAGTGAAAAAGGGAATGGTGAACCCTTTGAGCCTCTTCAGCTGAGGATAGCACAGCATTAGAATCCATTCTCTTGCACCTTCTTATTATTATCTTGTTATTACGGTTATTAATCTTGGGGGGGGGCGGAAGTGAGCCAGGTTAGGAGGAGGCGACATGTGACTATGTAGCCCCTCCATAAGTCGGCCAGCTCCAAAGATGGCCTCCTTGGCCTGGTCCAGGGCTCCCACTCAGCAGGGCCCAGGGAGGGGAGAGGAAGCAGGAGGAGGATTTCTCCGGCCTCCCTCTTTGGAGTTTTGCCATCTGAGCCGTGCCTCAGGGCCCTATGCTCTTTGAACTTGGATTTGTCACCCAGAGCCTTGACGCCTGCCCTCCAGCATCTAACGGACTTGAATCTACTTGGAACAAATATTAAATCCAGCATCACTACATTGTAGCCCAGAGTGACAACTAACCCTGACGTCTGGGAGGCGTCCCGTCTTATGGGAGCTCACCTCTCTCTGTTGTCAACTTCACCGTTCAACCTCCTCCACTCCTGTGTGGTGACCCTGTCGGTGTCTGTATCTGTTAATATGTGTATGTCCAGCTAAAAAGACAAACAGAACCCGTGGGCCAGCTCGGAGGGTGCGTGGAGAAGCCTCCCAATCTCTCCTGAGGGCCGCCCTTGGGATGGCATTCCGTCGTGTGCCTTATTCCTGGAGAATCTGTATACGGCCTGCCTATAGAGATATAGCCTTTTCATGCTGTATTAAAAAGAACTTTTAAAAGCAAGAGAGGCTCCTGGGTTTCCTTGTCTACACAGAGCATCAGTGGGGAGCTGGACCTTTTCACAGACGCAGGAGGCCATGAGGGGTGGGGGGCCTTGGGGCCGCCCCTCTAGTCTCTGGGTGTCTGGGATGTCTTGTCTCACCTTGTCTCTATCCCGTGCATTCGCCTCCTCCCAGCCCCTCTGTCCCCAAGCATACATTCCCCGGGGCGAGGGCCCTTCCCCGGCAGGGCCCCAGACTGGGCGAGATTGTCAGCACATTAGGTCACGGCTCGCTCTGCAGTGGGGCTCCCGGTGACCATATATAGGAGTGAATCTTCCTCAGAGACGGCAGCCCCGGTCCTCCGCTGCAGCTCCCACTTGGCCTTCTCTCCAAGACCGGGATTTGGGCCTCAGATGCTGAGTATCCCACAGTGAGCAGACTCAAGTGTCTGGGACCTCCTGGAAAGTCCCTGGGAGAGGAGACAGAGGGCCCTTCTTCCGAGCAGGGACCAGGCTGGGCTGTCTCGATGTGGGGCTCTCACCGAGGGACCGCTCACAGAGCCTGGAGCCACAGCCGAGTGAGCCTTAAGGAACCGTCTGCATACAAAGCCCCTCCACTCAGGGTCAGCGCATTTTTGGTTCTCAACCCGACTGCTCACCAAAATCACCTACGGGAGGCTTGGGCCCACCCCAGAGGTGCTGAGACACTGACTTGGGTTCCCTGAGGTTCTTAGAGTCTTGATCAGTCCCACATGCACTCTTGAGCAGCACCAGGCTTGGAAATGGGCCTTATGGTCCCGTGGGGCTGATGGGGATGGATGAGGAGACCGTGGGCAAGGGGCTCCACTTCCCTGTTGGCCGTTCCATCCTCGGCTTCATCCACTTGCTGCTGAGAATACACCGCCTGAGGTGTGGTGGAAAGTGGGTGGTGGGGGAGACTAGAAGTCCAGGTTTTTAGGTGGAATTTTCTAATTTTTAAATTTTGGCAACTAGTTTATTAAATAGCCAAACGACATGTCTGTGGGCCAGTCCATGCCTCCAGACTGCAGCCTCTGAGACGGAGCAGAGAAAACAAGATGTAAGTACTTGGGAACAGGGAACACGGATGGGGAAGTGTGGGGAACAGGCAGGAACAGAGGTCCCTGACTCCAGAAGCGGGACCCCTTGCCTTCTTTGGGGTGCACAGTGAATCCTGAAATCTATCAAGCCCTTTCCCTTTATTGGCGCAAAGAAAGAATTCACCTCTGGTGCCTGGCTTCAGGCTTTGTGAAATGATGGGCAGGGCAGGTGGGTGTCACTGCAGCCAAGCAGTGAGCAGAGAAGGGACCCAGCCCAGCAGAGTGGGCAGGGAAGAGAATAATCCCCCAAAAGAGGGCATCTCCTCCTGCAGCCCAGGGAGGGCTGCACTCCCGGTACAGGTCTGAGGACTCAGACCCGTCCATCTCAGTGGCCCTGTGTCCGGTCATGCTGGCTTCCAGATCAGTCCTGTCTCCCACAGCTGGGTGACCCTGAGCAGTTTCCCTGGTCTCTCTGAGCCGTGGCTTCCATGGGGATGTTGTGTGGATAAGCCAGCCCAGTGAATGAAGGCCCTGCACACAGCTTGGCAGCTGGGTGGTGGGTGGGGGGCCAGCACTGTGGGTCGCTTGCTCCCACTGTCTGTGGCTCAGGCCAAAGGTCACACAGGGCGTCCACGGGGACACCAGGCCTCCAACCCAGGAACCCGGTTCTCTTGTTCACTCACTGAGCAACCCCTGAGGAGTCAAGGTTAACGTTCGATTTTCTGCCCTTATGTGTCGTGTGCACGTGCCTGTGTGTTTGTTTTGCTTTGTTTTCTGTGGAAGGAAAACGAGTCCAAGGCAAGCACAGCCTGCATTTCGACATCTCCTGGAGCCGTGGAAACCAGTAATTCCCCTGGACAGGAAGGATTTCCGGTTAGACTTAATGTCCACGTCCAGAAGCAGCTGGCGGCCAAGAGTGGAGAGAGCGGAGTCCACAGCAGAAAGGGGCGTCAGTGGGCCCAGATGGGAGGGCCCAGCTCTGACCCACCCCTGCCTCTCTTCCCTTGGCGTCCTCCGCCACCCTCACACCCCTAGTTGAGGCCTCCGGAGAGAAAAGCTCACTTGAGTTCACTTGGGGGATAGAGCAGGATTTGAACCCCGAGATCTCACCTCCTGGTGCAGTGTTTCAGAGGCAGAGCCGGGGCGCAACCCCAAGCAGCGTGCTGTGCCCACAGCTGCAGGGGTGGGGCAAGGAGGGCTACAGGGCAGAGGTGGTTTGGGGAACGGGCAGCTCCAGCCCGTGAAGGCCTTGGTGTAAGAAGCTTTCACACCAGACACAGGGAAGGGAAACCAGCCAGTTCCCCAGGGTGGAGTTGGTGGGGGAGAATATGTGCTCAACCCACCCCCCCACCACAACCTCAGCACCAAAGGCCTTAGGGGCTCTGGGGACCCTCGTGGGGCCCAGAAATACATGCGTGGAGCCCCTGTGTCCTCATCTATAAGCTGGGGCATGCGGAACCCACCACAGGCTGCAGAGAGCGCTCTGTGCTGAATGCATCTCTTCTCACTGGCTCCCGCTGCCATGGGGCTTCTGCCCTGGGTCCTGGCCACAGGCACACGTCTCTCCTGTCCCTCTAGGCTCATATGTGCTCCTAACAGTCAAGGCAGGAGCCAGGGCAGAGAACAATATGGCAGGTGGGGAAACTGAGGCCTAGGGAAGGCCGTGATGCCTCAGACTGGCAGACAGTTCCTTCCATCTCCACGGTGTGTGCTTTTTCTGATTCCAGCCAGAGACTCCAAGTTCATTTCCACCAGCCCTCTAAGGCCTTCAGCAAACAACTAGGGTTGTCTCCTTAGGGCCAGGTCCAGTGCCCTAAGCCAGGGCTGGGCCCCATGATGATCTGAGTGGGGAGTCAGGCCCTGCCTGCTGGGGCACAATCTAAGGTTGGGCATCCAAAGGTAACCCCAGCTGCTCCCTGGCCCGCCTCCCCCATGGTGTTGGGAGGGGAGATGGGGCAAGAGGAGCTGAGATAGAGGCGGTGACGACTGGGGAAGGGCTCCCGCAGCCAGAGGCAGGCGTTTGGTTGTTCCTGGAACTCTGGCTGAAGCCAGGAACAGCCTGTGCTCGGGCACAAAGGCCCCTCCTCACACCTCTCCACATTTCTGCAGAATGGTTAGAGGCTTGGGCTCGTGGTTCTCCATCTCTCTCACACACACACATTCACATACCTCTTTGCACTTGCCTGCACTAACACATATCCACACACTGACACGTGTGCACTCACACACTCTCAGACACATTTACGCACACACAGCACAAACATGCACGGCTGCAGCCCACTGGGAGTACAGAGGGGGTAGGGAGCCCCTAGGGCAGCCCCTCTCCCTGACTCCTGTTAGCCAAGGGTCACTTTTAGAGCGGGGGAGACTCCCGGCCAGAGGGCCATGGACTTCGTGTAACTCTGCCACCTTCCCCACAGGCTGCACCTCCGTGCCATGAGCCAGGGTCCCTGGAACCATCCAGTGGGTGAGAGAAGTCAAGCCCGAAACACACGTCCAACACAGTGATCATAGCCTGTCCTCGTATTGCAAACAGTGGAGCGAATTCACATCTTGTTGGGTGTGATGAGGGCCCTGTGAAAAGGGGGTCATGTGAAAAGTGGCCTGTGATGAGGGTTGTGTGAACAGTGACCTCATCTGTTAGACACACGTGTTGAAGGTGAAGCGAGACAGTGCCCAGGCCTTGGCTTTATTCTCAAATAATCCAGAATATAGATGGATGGGTGGGAGGAGTTGCTGAAGTGAGACTGACAAAATGGTGACCATGTCTGAAGTGGGGATCCGGGACCCTGGGGATCTACTGTCCTACATTCTACTTTGCATTCCATTCCTGGGCCGGAGATGAGCTCAAGGCAGCTGGACCAAAGAGGTGGGCAGGCATAGTGGGGGCAGGGCCTCCAGACCTGTAACTGCCCTCATTTAGCACCACCCCCCTCCCCCACAGTCTGTGCACCTTCAGCACTGGTGTGACCTGGCTCACCACAGGGTTAAGTGTGGAATGAACGAGTGAGGTCTGTTCAACATTCACGTGCTAGCTGCTGGGCTGCATGATCTACACATGCATCGTCAGTCTTGGTCTTTTTCACGACTCTGTGAGCTGGGTGCTAGGATGAGCCCCAGTTCACAGAAGAGGAGGCCAAGGTCCAGAGAGGTTGACGGACTTGTCCAAGATCATACGGCTGATGACAGCAGAGACTCGGCCTGCGCCCCTTCCCAGACCCTCTTCCCAACTCTCAGCCCCAGGGGTATGTCAGGTCCAGGGCTTAGTCCCTGCCTCTGGCCGTTGTGCCACTGCCCAAGACAGCCAGGCATGGGGCCGGCCTGCCTCAGCCCCCAGGTCTCTGGGCCCCTCACACCTGCCCGGCCGAGTCCGACAGCCTTCCTTTGGCAGCCTGGAGCCAATAACCAGCTAGTGCAGCTGCTGCGCTGGTTACTGCAGGCCCGGGGAGAAGCCAGAACTCAAGCCAAGCCACTCAACACAGAACACAAACCCCCAGGAGGTCTCCACCCACTTCCAACCCTCTTGAAACCTCCCTGGGGGCCTCTTTCCCAGTTGCAAGGGGAGCCCTGCTGCTACCTCCACTACCTCCAGGAGAGCCAGGCCAGCACCTCTGCCTTCTCTCCTCGGACACTCACCCATTCTGGCGCTCCCCTGCCCCCTTCCTCAGCCCTCCCCCCCGCTGGAGCCCTGTATTCATGCCCATTCCCCTCCCACATCCTCCCTCTCGGTCCTGGAAGTGAAAGTCCATGCCAAGCCCTCCATGCTGGGAGCTGACTAGCATCCTCTTCTCCCACCTGCTCAACACCCCCACTCCTCCTCTGGTCACCCCCAGAGGTCAGGGCCCAGCCCCCAGCACCCCTCTGCACCCAGCTACTGCAGCCTGTGGGGCAATTTGGGATCCAAATCCTGCCTTGTATGTCCAGGATTGTGGCACCTGCTGTGACCTCCATTTCAGCAACCCCTCATTTCATCCTGGCAAGGACTCTGGGGTCAGACTAGACGCAGAACTGCAGCTTCACTATTCATCAGCTATCATCCTGAGCTGAGCGAGTTGCCTCCCCCACCCCAAACCCCAGGTTCCTCTCTTGTAAAATGGAAATGATACTGCCTCCCAGCTGAGGGTCATTGTTATGATTAAACACCTGGGACGTGCTTAAGCGTTTTTAGCTACTGCACCAGTCATGGAGGAGATGACAGTCCCCTGGACTTGTGCTGCCCTTGAAATGCCATCCTCCCCCCGCCCCTTGTGATTCCCTCTCTGCATTTTGCCTCCTTATTATACCTCTCATCACCTTGAGCCAGGCCTTCTGAAAATTTTATCCCAACCAGGCGGCAAGTGAGGCTTTGCCCCAGGACAGGGCGTGAGTCTGTCTGGTCCTTGGACTGTACACCCTCCCCGCACCCTCCCCAGACACCCACACCCTGTTAGTTCAGCTCTGACTGCGCTTCTGCCTGAGTTTCCCTCTTGTGCTGCACCAAGTGACCTTTGCCTAGCACATAACTGGTCTTCTTCTCTCTGGAAACCTGACCCATCCCGACCCCACAGTGGAGATTGCTTCAAACAGTTTGGCCTAGATCTCTCTCCCCCAATATTCCTGGCAGCTCAAAATTTGCCCCCTTTCCTCTTGCAGGAATCGGCTGGTCCCCTGATGCCCCCTGGTGGTTAAGTCTGAGAATTGCGACTTCCTGCAGGCTGCAAGCCTGCACAGGGGACAAAAGGGGATTTATCTTTTTGCTCTCAAATCCGAGATGAGTCCTGACCACTCCAGCACAGTACTATCCAAGCCTCATGCAACTTTGCTTGAGTAAAACTGTCAAGTGGTAATATCTGAGTTTTCCTTCTTGATTATAAAAATAATGCATACATAATGTGAAATGGAAAGAACACAAAAATATGAAGATGTGAAAATTCTTAGCAGCCCAATTTCCTCCAGAGATACCACTGTCGAGTTTGGCCCTAACCTTCCCTAGACTTTTTGCTTGTAAAAATATTTGTAACTGTAATGTACACACACACACCGGGTTATACTTGACATGCTGTTCCATAACCTGCCTTGTTCTCACCATCACCTCTTCCTGCTAGCACAGAAATCTGTTTCGTTCAACTAACAGCTGATTGCACTCTTTTGTTAGGGAATGTATTTATCAATTCCCTATTGAACAGCATGGGCATTCTTGTTTTCAAAAGTAAATTTTTTTTTCTTAATTATCATTCTGTTTGGTACAGTAGGAAGATCTGGGGTCAGGACTTTTATCTAAAATATATAAACAGCTCTTACAACTCAATGATAAAAAGACAAATAATCCAACTTAAAAATCAACAAATATCTGAATAGACATTTCTTCAAAGAAGATGTCCAAAGGGTCCATAAACACATGAGAAGATGCTCAACATCATTAGTCATTCAGTTCAGTTCAGTTCAGTCGCTCAGTCGTGTCCGACTCTTTACAGCCCCATGAATCGCAGCACACCAGGCCTCCCTGTCCATCACTAACTCCCAGAGTTTACTCAAACTCATGCCCATCGAGTCGGTGATGCCATCCAGCCATCTCATCCTCTGTCATCCCNGAGGCCATGAAGAAATCAAAATGCTTATGCATTGCTTGTGAGAATGTAAAATTTTCTAGCCACTCTGGAAAACAGTTTGATGTTCCTCAAAATGTTAAAATGAAGTTGCCATTAAGGCTAGCAATTCTTACCCATATGTAGAGTAGTACAATATTATTTATAGGTAATCTGTGATAAAATAAGCTCCATATTGTAAATCCTAGAGAAACCACTGAAAATACAAAATGAAGAATTAAGTCTAATCCATCAATAGTGGAGGTAGGATGAAAATCATTTGGGAGGAAAAACTCAATCCAAAAGAAGGTAAGAAGGGAACAAAAACCAGATGGGACAAAGATAAAATAAATAGAAAGGAGATAAATTTAAACCTAACTATATTGATAATTAAGTTGAATATAAGTGGCCTAAACTTTTAATTGAATGGCAGAGTTTGTCAGATTGGATAAGAGAGCAATGCCACCACTTACAAGTTCCTTGGCTTTTAGCTTTAAATCTTCCTTTCATTACCCTGTTTGTGATACTGTAACCACTGTTTCTCGCCACCTGAAATTGTATTAACCTTTATCAGTAGAGGGGTTCCTCTGGTGGCTCAGACATTAAGGAATCTGCCTGCAATGCAGGAGACCCGGGTTCTATCCTGGGTCAGGAAGATTCGCTGGAGGAGGAAATGGCAACCCATTCCAGTAGTCTTGCCGGGAGAATCCCATGGGACTGAGGAGCCTGGCAGGCTACAGTCTATGGTGTGGGAAAGAGTAGACCATCCTGAGCAACACACACAATCAGTAGAGGGCGCTAGCGAGACACTTTGTTAAGTAAACCCACGTGTGGTTAACAATTTTTTATATTAAACTTTCCGTGTTAGAATTACTATGTTCTTTCTATATCCTGTCTGGACCCTTACTGATAAAGAATTGACACTGGCGGTGATCCCAGGAGATAACCCCACAAACGGTGTTCAGCGATTTGTTTAGCCGTGCCGTTGTGCCTGAAGGCATGGCTGAACAATAGGAAGTGGGATGATGGTGATGCATGGCATCATGCCGTGGCTCCGCAGTGCTGTGACCTGCGGTTAAGTGACGGGAAGCACGTGCCTTGGGAAACCAGGTGGCTGCACACGTGAGGGTCACGGCAGGAGCTATGACAGTAAGGACTAGACTGTGGGGTGAACTATTTTGAGCACGCTTGACTGTTCACCAAAAGAAAATGACAAACACGTCCTTTAATTCTCGGCTTATGTGCAGGTCTGAGAACCAGAAAGCTTCCGTGACAACTCGAAAACATCTTTCATTTCTTATAGAAATGGACTGACATCACTTAAAATCTAACAAAAATGTAATTGTGTAAGCAGCTGAATTACAGTATCATTTGAATTCACAGTCTCCCTAAGGCTTTGATGTGAAGGGCGTCAGTGGAAAAGAATTGGATCCTGAAGTTCATGATGGGGAACATCTGTTTGGGTCCAAATGAAACTAACAACTTGAACCCTCCAGTCACTCCATTCCCCTCTCACCTGTGCAAGTAGCCTGCCCTTCTGTGTCTGGGAAGAACAGACTTCACCGTGGTCGGGTGCTTTGAAAGGTAATACCCAAGACCTACCAAACCACTTCCATCACCAGCTCAAATCTCAGCATTTTCCAGAGCGACAGAACTTCAGAGAAACAGCTTGTACACCCAAAGAATTCTGAGACTTTATATCACATATCTCTAAGCAGATTTATTGTGATATTGTTCACGTGTCATACAATTCATCCACCTGAAGTATATAATTCAGTGTTTTTCCAGTATATTCGCAGATAAATGGAGCCATCAGAACACTCAGCATGGAACCAAGATTTTCTCTATTCACCCTATTCCAGTGGACCTCAGACACAGATCTGACTCATGGCCTCCAGGAGCTGTTCACTGAGAAATTTTCTCCTGTCTGGGCCCACCCAAGCCACCAGTCCCCACAAAGCTTGGCTGAACAGGCTGCCCTACACATCATCCAAGAGTTTCCACCTGGAAACTCAAGTGAAGCATCTTTTACAGGTGGAGGGTCTTACTCCAGATTCCCGGAGCACACAGTGAATAATGTTTCACAAGTCAACCATGACTCTAGTGGTCTGGTGGTCTCCCTTTTCAGTCTTGCCCCCCTCTCACCTACAAATTCTCAATCTTTAGTTGAATTATTATCTGAAAATCCAGATTCTTAGATTCCACCCTCAGAAAGTGGTATTCCACAGGTCTCAGCCATGGCCTGGGAATCTGCATGCTTTCCCAGCGCTGCATGATTCCTAGGAGAAGCATTGCTTTAGACCTTACCAGACCTTGGAAGCACTGGCTGACATTCCTTTTCATGGAGCAACATTCTACAAAGCCCAGCCGTGTGTTAAATTTTCCCACATCCTCATACATGCTACACAAAAGAAGTCAGACATAAAAAGTAAATCTTGTAGGATTCCATTTCTGCCACGTTCTAGAACAGGTAAAATGTATCCACAGAGACAGAATCACTGGGTTCCTGGGATCAGGCACAGAGGTAGATTTCTGGAGAGATGGAAGCTCTCCATCTCTTTATGGAGGTATGTTTTTAATTTAATTTGGTGGCGATTACTCAGTGTATGAATTTGTCAAGTCATGATCTGTATATTTAAAATGTGTGAATTTTATTGCAGGTAAATTATACCTCAATGAAATCATTTTTTAGCTTTTATAATTTTTTTAGTTTTTAAATTATGAAAGCATTATAACATATTTACAGGATGCTTGGAGAATACAAAGTTACATATAGTTCCACTATATATTACAATATTTTTAAGTCAATAAATTAAGATTTTTTTAGTTAGAGTTTCAATATTAAACTCTCAAAAATTAACAGAATAAATAGAAAAGTATAAGGATATAGTAGACCTGAAAAGCACTATGAACCAACTCAACATAATTAAGATTATACAATTTTCACACAACAGCAGAATACTAATTCTATTCAAGTTCCCATAGACTATAAGCCAGAAGGCACTGGAACATATCCAGGGATGTAAAACAAGGTGCAAAAATGTCATGGTTTGAAGGTTCAGTTAAGTCAGTTCGAAAAGCTCTCCTGGATTGTCTCAGAAAACTGCTATTTCAGATATTTAAACACGTGTTTACATGACGTCCACATACGATTCCATCTGTGAGAGCGCGTGTATGGCTCACTGTTTCCTTCAGGCACTAGGCACTGTGCCCCAGCAACAAGTAAGTATCTTAATTTGTCTGTTGCGTAGGCTCGGCTTTGTATAGTAAGACCATTTGGGATCTTGTGCAAGAGTTCTAGGAAACTCTTCCCATCTTTGGGAAATTCTGTTTTTAGGAAATTCCTGAATACTTTCGTCCCCTACCCGACACTAGACTCCTCCGCATGGGAGGGACACACACATACATACTCCTCTGCATGGGCGGGACACGCACACACACACGCACATACACATATGCTTCCTCCTTGTCAAAAAGGAAATGCTCTGTGAACTGAACACATGCCCCACAGGCTCTGTGACCCTGCAACCCCTCAGAAGTCACCAGGGGTCCAGCGGTCACACCTCAAGGGGCTGGTCCTCACACTTGTCAACAGCTCCACTGCCTCCCAGAATCCCCAGAGGTCAAAAGGAAACCACAGGGACTGACATCTTGGCTTTGACCTAAGAAATTCAAAGACCTCTGAATGTGTGTGATCTGAAGACAAAGGGGGTCTGTGGAAACGCCTCCCACAGAAAGCCATCTGGTCTGTCAGGTCCAGGATTCTAGTCCCTCCTCTGCCAACTGACTCAGGAAGTCACCTTGGCAACCATGACCTCTCTGGCAGCCTCAGTTTACCCATTTATAAAATGCTGGATGGACTGAGCAATAACTGTTATTGACACTTGGCTCAAGATCCCACTCTTCAAATGAAATCCCTTTTAGAAAACATAAGAGGGTATCTATGATTGAAAGACCACCTGATGTGAAGAGCCCACTCATTGAAAAAGACCCTGATGCTGGGAGAGATTGAAGGCAGGAGGAGAAGGGGATGACAGAGGACAAAATGGTTGGATGGTATCATCAACTCAATGGACATGAGTTTGAGTAAACCCCAGAAGATAGTGAAGGACAGGGAAGCTTGGCATGCTGCAGTCCATGGGGTTGCAGAGTCGGACACGAATTAGCAACTGAACAATTGAAAGGAGGTTCAGGGGCCCACGCTCATGGCGGAGGATGCTTCAAGGCTCTTTGAGAGCTGTTTGAGAACTACTAGATGAGCTGAGTTCCCAGCCCATATAGCTGAACTGACTTCACAGAAACTCTCCATGACTCTAATGACCCAAATCCTCTACTTATTTCTTGCTCTTAGTTGCTAAGTCATGTCCAACTCTTTTGTGACCCCATGCACTGTAGCCCACCAGGCTCCTGTCCAAGGGATTATCCTGGCAAGAATACTGGAATGGGTTGCCATTTCCTTCTCCAGAGGATTTTCCCAGCCCAGGAATTGAACCCAAGTCTCCTGCATTGCCAGGCAGATTATCCGCTGAGCCACTATAGAAAGTCCAGCCATGGTGAGCTGAGAATGACTACAAGGATCTGGGACCACACACCATCACACTTGGGGAACTCCAAGGTGAGGCAATGCTAATCATCTTGTGATTCTTCTATTATCTGGCTGTTTAAGGAAGTTCTTACTCTCTTCCCACCCCTCAATCTGCCCTCCCTGTGAATTTAGAAATACCTGTAATTTAACTCCAAATTTAAATGGCATAGAGGGAAGTAAAGTCCACATCTAGTCCGACATAATCACAGCTCCTTCTTTTCTAAGACCCAGACACACCAGAAATGCTGCCCTTGTCCCTCCAGACCACATGCCAAGGCCCATGTTGTGTACTTGACACAGATCATGTCCAACCTTCAACACCCTGTGAGCTGGGCACTGTTATCCCATTACTCTGCTGAGCAAAACTGAGGCTCAGTCACCCAGAGGCACGCCAGGGCTCTCGAGTGGGCTGTGGATGCTGAGAGTGTTTGTCTGAGCCTGTTTCCTCTTCTCTTGAACAGGATGACAAGCATACCCTCAGAGATAGCTGGCGGACTGCAAGTCCATGTAAAGGCCCTCCAAAGAATACAGAGTAACAGCAGTTAACAATAAATGCTGGCTCCAAACACTTGTGTTATAGACAGTGCTCGCTAAAGGCAAGGACACCAGTTTTTTATAGAAAATAGGATTTATTTTCACATTTAAGGTGAACATAAAGAAATTTTCCAAAAGTATATTGTGTACATAGTCAATAGATTAATTTATTAAACACACAGGAAAAACAAATCAAAGCCCACCAGGAAAATACATTTTGACTTCCTTCCAGAGCACATAGATAGCACTTAGAGGTTATTTCTATTTTCAACTTGGGAATTCACATTGACAAGGCACAACTTGCAGTAGGTCTGTCCCCCGGTTCAGCTGCTTCCACCCCAACGGGCTCTCCCCAAATACAAGAGCAGCAAACCAACGGGATTCACAGTGGCTGGGATTAAAGGCCTCAGCTGTGGGACCGTCACAAAGGCCTGGATGTGCTCCAAAGGCCGAGCTCTGTAGGTCTGTGGCCTGTGCCACCAACTCAGGTCACACCACAGCCTGGAGTAGTTAGTGTCACAGCTTCAGCTCCAGGGAGTCTTGTGAAACTATTCCGATCAGAAAGACAATATTAAACAGATATGACAGCCCTTTATAGCAACTGCCTTTCCCCTGTGGCCAAAGAAGAGGCAGAAACCGCCTTCAAAGCTAACCCATCATGTGTGCCTGAGGCACAGGTGAACTTGAGCCAGGCGGTCACAGGCGATGTCTATGAGGAGCGGTGACCCTGTGTCTACAATGGGTGCCCAGAAACGGGGCGCTGGGGGAGGGAGGGCGCTGGGGAAGCTGCCCGGTGGGTCCTGTGGGGTCTAACATTCCTGAGAGGCCTCCTGGAAGCACACAGGGTCAGCTCAACTGGCCGCAGTCTGTGATGACGATCTTCTTGGATGTCTTCCCACTCTTAGAGCCAAAAGATTCTATTTTCTTCACGACGTCCATGCCCTCTTTCACATGGCCAAACACAACATGTCTGCCATCCAGCCTGGGAGGAGAAAGGAGCCAGGTAAGCAGAAACGAGGGTGCTAGAATGTCACCCAGGGTCACGGTCCCGCGGTCATGGAACTATTTACCGAAAACAGCAGTTCTGAAAGGAACTCAGACCGAAAAGCTGGCCCAACCTCTCACAGGTCCTGTGTGGAGCCTTGCTGAGTCCCCCAGCACACACCAGAGGATGGTTCCCTCCCAGGCTGTGTTCTGCCTCACCTGCTGGGTGACCTCGGCCCGGGCCACTCAACCTGAATCCTGGCAACCTCACCTACAAAGAGTGAATTATTCTCATCCTGCACAGGGAGATGATAGGATACTGAACTACTCTGAAGAAATAAGTCTGTGTAAATGGAATCATTTTTTTTTTAAGTTTGTTTGTTTGTTTTTTGATGTGGACCATTTTTTTAAGTCTTTATTGAATTTGTTACAATTTTTTTTTTTTTTTTTGGACACGAGGCATGTGGGATATGAACTCCCTGACCAGGGATTAAACCTGTACCCCCTGTATCAGAAGGTGGACTCAACCACTGGAGCACCAGGGAAGGCCCTTATGGAAGCGTCTTAACAGTCAGGAACTCTAAGGTGAGAGCCAAGATGATATGTATGGTGAACCTACACAAGTCCCAAGCAGCTCTCAATCTAAGAGAGTCCCGAGAATCTAAAAGGCAGCTCTGTTCAAGGCCACCAACCAACACTGGTTACACTTTAGGATCCACCAGGGGTCTCACAGATGGAGGGCAGGCAGGGCCAGCAACAACCTGCCCACTCCGACATCTGTGTCCCTTCTGATTCAGAGGCTACAGACCACTAGTATCCACCACCACCTGGGTCTCCCTAAAGTCCTTGGAAATGGGCTTTATTAAGTCTTAGCTCCAGGCCAGCTGTTGTCCCCTCACCCAGCTGAGATGCCTCAGGGTGAGGACACAGGGAAATCTGGGCAGAGAAAACTGATTAGATAGTGGGAAAACTGACCCGGGAAGACATCCCTAAAATACAAGGGCAATGGAAAAGAGGGTTCCAGGGGGGCTGGTAGCTGCCACAGGCTGGTACTAATGCCTGATGAGAAATCTGGTGTGATATCCAAATGCTTTCTACTGCAGCATTTTCCAAGGTGCAGCCCAAGATCAAATAAGCTGGGAAACGCCAGGTTAAACCAAGTGAGCAGGCTTCTGCCACAGGCCATCCTGAGGCCTGGTAAGTTCTGCAGCATTTCCCCAATGTATTTGGTAAAAGAATTCTTCCCTGTGTGTACGTGTGTGTGTGCACATGTGCATGCTCAGAACACTGAGAAATTCCAGCTACAGCAACAATGGGAAGCCTGATAAAAGACAGAGTTGCAAAATATCCCAAATTCTTCCTCAGTCCTTTCGGGGACTTTCTCCTCTTACACACTCAGCCGGGTGAGGGCAACTGCCCCAGAGCAGAGAATTTGGCCTCAAACTACCCTCCCCCTCCAGCTCAAGGCCAGCCCTGCTTCCCGGAGGGCCTGGACCAGAAGCCAGCAACTCACCAGTCTGTCTTTGTGGTACAAATGAAGAACTGGGAGCCGTTGGTGTTGGGGCCCGCGTTGGCCATGGACAGGACACCTGCAAAAACAAGTAGGATGACCAGGCTGCCCCAGGAGGCATCTCACCTGGGAGTTGTTCAAGAATGGATGACGTAAACCACAGGAAGGATGCTTGAGGCTGAAGATACTTGGGGCTTAGAAAAGGAGAGCCAAGCCCAGAGCACAGCCACCCAGGGCCTGTCTGCCTTGACAACACAGAAGGGAAGGGCCTCCTGGAAGCTCTCAGTGGTAAAGCAGGGGCAGGACCTCCAGCTCTGAACTCTAGCTTTTTCCACATCGCACCTTGGGTCCTAAAGGTAACACAATGCTAGGGCTTTGCTTAATGGCTCTCTCCCCCAGGTTGTCAAAGAAAGGTTTTTGAAACTGAGAGCTCAGGATGAAAAAGCCTCTGGAACAATCCAACAAGCCCACCCATTACACTTAAGGAAGGAAGGTGCATCCCTAGATATGGAGCCATCAGGTTGCAGTCTCCAGGCCTGCTGGGGTGGCCAGCGGCAGGCTCACAGCTCAGGGTACACTGCCCAGGTGGGGACTGGCAACCTTACTCACCTGGCCCCTCATGCTTCAGTTTGAAGTTCTCATCAGGAAAGCGGCTTCCATAGATGGACTTTCCCCCCGTGCCGTTGTGGTTGGTGAAGTCACCAGCCTGTGAACACGGAGCGCTGGCTGAGTGTCGCCACCAAAGCTGGCAGAGGGGTGCTGCTCCCATGCTGACACACAGCCCCCAGTGCACCCAGGGCCCACCCTGGGAGCCCTCAGGCAAAGGGGTCAGAAAACACACAATGATAGAAGGGCTAACATAATGCTAAGGAGCATAAACAATAACAAAATAAAGGTTTAATACTTTCTGCCCCAATAACTACCCTGGTTCCCAAATGATTCATTTTTGTCTGAGTGAGATTTTCAATGATCCTTAAAAATTCTCGGCCATTTCGAGCTGCTTCTTAAGTGACCTAGAATTTTCTACCCACAACTCTTGGAGGGTAAACAAGGAAGAAGCCAGGAGTCCCTGCTCCCCAATGTGGTCTGTGGGAAGCGGCAGCAGCTGGCAGAGCCAGGTCCCTCCGCTGAGCCCCCTTCCTGTCCCAGCATCTCCCTTTCACCCAGCCCAGGACAAAGTCCACCCAGGGCTGGCGGTCTTCCTCATGGTTTGCCCAAGGCTTCCACAAGGAGCCGCAGACAGAAGAGCCCAGGGTCTGCCAGGCCCAGCCCCCAGCCACCATCATGTTGCTGTTTTCCTGAGATAACCTCCTCAGGTGAGAGGGGTGACTGGACCAGCCCTGCTGAAGCATCCACAAATGCCAATAAGGTGTCCCCAGAGAGGACCGGACCTCCCAGTGCCACCATCCAATGCTTCCAAGAGCCCGCCAGCTTTGGAGTCCCTGCCCTTGCCTGCTGTGGTGAGAGGAAGACCCTAGCCTGGCTCGGACATCTGCTTCAGCTCCTGCTCAGTCTAGAGCCTCAGGCAGAGCTGGGGGCCTCTGCAGCTGAGAGCCACGGGCTGTGACCAGGCCTGTCTCACAGCCACAACCCCCGCCAATCGCCGCATTCCTCACGTTCAACACGTCAGCAGGCCCAGCCCCAACCCATGCTACTCACCATAATGTGATGACAGCCATCAGGTCAGGATAGGGGGAGCTTGGGGGCAGAAATCCGGGCTGAGAGGACTTCAAAGAGGTCATGACAGCCATGCTCCTGCCTCCAGGCCAGCTGGCCTCAGACATGAGCCCCTGTCTTAGCAGGGTCTGACCTAACACAGGACAACCCTTAGCATGGCTCAGGCCCTGGCACCAGCAGAAATTCTTGCCTGCCACACCTACCCACAAAACTTCTAACACAGCAAAGCTAATGCTTTTGAAAAGAGGCCGAACACATGACTAAAGAGCAAACGCATTTAACTGAGAAAGATGCCCTACACTGGAGAGAGGCTCCAAGTCCGGACCTGTGGGTTCTTGTCTCTGCCTGGCCTCCCTCCTCCTCCCCTTCCTCTTTATCTCCTATGCCGAGTGCTCGGTGGGACACACTGGGGGCTGTGGGCAGAGACTGAATACGCTGTTACTCCAAAGCCTCCAGCACATCCACACCCCAATGCCATTCTCCCTCTGCCGCTCCACTCTCCTGGCCCTGCCAGGCAGGGTCAACCTGCCGCTTGTCCTGTTGCTTAACTCCTGGGGCGGGGAAGGCACTATGGCTGCCAGGACAAGCTCCAGACTCTCAGAGGGAAAGGACAGGCTGAGGGAATGACCACGGTTGCCCTCCATCCAGTACTTTCCAGGCACGACCACACTGGCTAATCCCCGTGACATTCTCCAAGGTGGCCCCGTCACTATGCCACTTACAGAAGAAGTTGAGGCAGCAAGAGGCCCACTATACCTGGCACATGAAGGACGGAATCACTCTGTGGAATGTAGACCCTTTGTACCCAAAGCCCTTCTCCCCAGTGCACAGGGCTCTGAAGTTCTCTGGTGGGGTGAAGGAAAAAAGCAG